TCTACTTACAAATTTTAATAATTTTGTTCTTCTTATATATGGAGTATAACTTTATTGATTGAGCGAGACACGTGTGCAAAATATGTATGCTAAGTTAGTTATAATAAAAGCATGAAGATCTTATAAATAATGTTGATTGAATTCTTTTTCCTTCACTAAAATACTATATACTAATAATAGATAATATTATCATTTCTTAACTTATAATAAATTATGTTTACAATGTTTAAATTAAGGTACCATAAATATTACATGATAAAAAGTATTAAGGGAATTAAAAATTAAGAAGACCTAAAATATATGATAAAATAAAGTATTTTATGACTTAAGAAATTCAAAGATATATGATAAGAGAAAAATATATGGTAAGAGTAATTGAATGAAATTCTATTTAGATTTGTTTATTTGGCTAGCTAGTAATTAATTACTTTGAGCAATATGGATCGAGTGTAATTCAGGGCAACAATTACACTCACTAGATATGAACTGGTGATGTTAATTACATCACATGCATAAAATTATATCGCGTTTTGATATTCGATATTGATATTAAAATTCGATTATTTTAAATTTATATTGTGTATAATTTTATTCGGTAGAAGCGTTTTTTATCAAGAATTTTTCTATATTCAGGGTTTAAACTAAGAACCTCTAATCAAGGAAGGAACAGTCTCATCAACTAAGCTACATTATTTGATGATAGTATTATATTGTATCATCAATTATTTGAAGGTCACGCCCCATTTAGATTTCTATGCGATACTAATAAAGTATATTATTAGTTTTGTTTGTTTGTCAACTCTAGCCCCAATACCTTATAGAATGGATTCCTACTTCATATTTACTTAATATGAATATTTTCCCTTCCCATTCTATCAACGAATTCTCTATAATAATTCGTAAATCTAGATCGGCTAATTCTTCTCAAATAATTCCTTCTAGAATTTTTTCTTCCCCGCAGTTATCCTCTGCTTTCTTATGTTTGCCATTTTGAAACGATTAAGAAACACCAAAATAATGTCTAAACCCAATAATTTATAATAAAATAAAGATAAAGGATTATTGAATACAAATACAACTTTTGTCGAACAAGAGAATTGTGGTAATTAAGATAGGATAAGATATGATCGTCAAAACGACTAAAATCATAACAATGGAAATAAATTGATAAAACATCCCTAGAAACCAACCTACTTCTGCTACTTAGACTTATTAATGAAGTTATAGGATTTTGTATAGAATATAAAAAGAAAAATGATTCCATTTCTATCACTATTTCCGCAGCCCGTCAATTAGTTAACTATCGACATATTTTAGTTAATGGTCATATAGTAGATATACCGAGTTATCGCTGCAAATTTCGAGATATTATTACGATAAAGGATGAACAAAAATTCAAAGCTCTGATTCAAATTAAAGTAACTGAATTAAAGACTATTCGATTCAGTAAAGGAAACTGAATAAAATTCATAACTGTCTCAAAAACAATATTCCAAAGCTTTTATATGTTCACCATTACTTGTGTGGATAAGCGAAAGTTACACAACTTAATAAGTATATTGAGGTTACCAAACAAGCCCTTAGTATTCTCATAATTGATTCATCCAAACTAATATTTTTGACACTTGAATATAAACTTATATAAATTAAATTCACTAAAAATCTTAATAAAATTTAATTTGAACCTATAATTTTATAATAGTAAAAAAAATTGCCTGAGTTTTTAACGTGTTCTTTTTCCAAGTAAAATACACTGGATTTTATATTATTTGCCTCGTTTTTGGATTCTTCGCTAATTTTTTTACTATATAATACTACTAGGTCTTTTTCATTTTTCATGATATATTTTTCTTTTTAATCTGTTTTAAAAAATAAATAACTTTAAAGCTACATTTTATCTTAGAGAACTTATAATTATACAAACTTTTCTAAAAATTTCAAAATATATATATATATATATATTTTTTTGTTTAACTTGATGATAAATGAAATAACATTATATAAATTAAAACTACGATATCCATATTTAGGTGGGGATTAGAACATTCTAACCCCAGATTTAAAGTAGAATAAAAATTGACTGGTCTGCAAAAAAGAGTTTTAACAGTTTAAGGTTTCATGTGAGTAAAAAGTATTATTTCTTGTGATGAGTGACACATTAAAAAATTTAAATTGTTGCTACCAAACAAAAAATAGGAAGATGCATCAACACCTATCTGTCTAAACAACTGGCAATGTGGACAATATTTTGTACTTTTGCATTAAATTAGCAAAAATTTTAAAACCATATAATAAACCTTTTAATTGATAAAACAATAAATATCTACAAAAGAATGTCGTGGTCCTGTTATAATATATCCAATCTCATGTCGATCTGATTATCATGTGAAATGAGAGAAGAGATTCTGCTTATATATACGTATATATTCACTTTTCGTAAGTTAATTTGATTAATTTTTTTAAAAAAATATCTGAATTTGATTAATAATCTCAAACTTTAGGCAACACCTGTTATCCTATAGTGTTTCTGAAAGATATATAAGGTTCCAACTAGATAAATAACTATTTATAATGTCCATGTGGACACTTATATATCGAAAAAATTTACGCGCATCGAATATTTACATCAAACTAATTTAATTTTCATTATTATGTGATTTCATGACGTAGTTAATTAATTAATGTTACATAAAATACACTATACATTTAAAAATGTATTGAATTGGTGTAAACACCCGATGCGAGTAAATTTTATCCATATATATCTTCAGAATACACTCTCAAATAATACAGAGGTATAGGTCTAGACTAGGACTCCCGTCTAAAGTTTGTGATTGTTACAACAATTTTGATCAAATTTTAAATATAATTAAAATAAATATAATATTTTAAAACTAAAAATCAAATATATAAGATAATATATGTAAAATATTATAAATGGTAAATTTTTTTATATTAATATAATAAGTGTATCACTTTTAAATATTGATCAAAAATCATATTGCTTAATTCTAGTGATACAAGTAAAGTATTTTGATAACTCAATTCTAACTTGTCTTCTTATTGTACAACCTATGGCCTATGTGATATTGTTTGGATAGCAAACATGTGAACATGTTCATGTATGACTATTTTTATGAAGCACATTTTTTATATATAAGTACAATTATTGAAAGATAGTTGTTTGTATTGATACAAATAAATAAACATGGAATCCTTTTATCGACGATAATGCCGTAGTTTTCATTACATATCATACACATTAATTAATCCAGATCAAAATTAAATATATTTAAATCGTGCATCAACAAAGATTAATAATTACTTTTTCTTTTGGTATTATAATAGTTGATCTTTTTATTGAAAATAGTTGTATCGTATTAGCTGATCATCATACTAAAAATAGTTGTCTTATATTAGTTGATCATCTCATGAAATTAAGAAAACATTATTTTTATTTATGTTATCCTAGTAATTAATTCTTGTTGAAAGTGTTTCATGTTTATTTGTAGAATTTCTTAAATGTTTTCCAAGAGGTGAATTAGTAAAGTTATTTTTTTTTTATGATTCTTAATAATATATAAAACAGAAAGCGATCAACTAAAATGGAATGAAGGAAGTAATTTGATGCAACATACTAATTTCATCTCCGAACTATTGACAATCTAAAAAAATATATTTCTACTTCTTTAGTTAAATTCACGTGACATAATAAGTAGGCTCAACTGTCAAACTCTCGTAGAAACATATAGTTTTTAATGAAAAATCGAAATCTAAATTTAACGAGAATTTAAAATTTATTTCTCTCGTATTAAAAGTTTGATTGTGTATTTAAGTTTGTCTATCAAATTATTTTTAATACTATAAATAAATTAAAAATAAAATTAATAATTTACGTTAAATTTTCAATAATTCTAAGTATGTTAAATGTTTTTAACTTGTAGTAAATAAAACAAAAAGAAGAAACGGGTAAAGGTGAAAAGTTGCATTAATAACCATAGCCTAAGATTCCAAAAGACACAATCATCGCAATGGTGGGTCCCATTCACCCTCTTCTTCTTCTTTCCCATTTAAATAATAGCCGTTTTCCCTTTATTTTAGTAACTCTAATTATTTTTGTATTGTTTTTTACTTACTATGTAATTAATTAATTAAGTAGTTCTTAGTACTAATTACCAACTAAACTGTCTTTGAACAAACTCTTCTCTTTTAATTACTTTTAAAACATACTCATCCGTCCACTTTTAATTATTCTGATTTTGTGTAATAGTTATGGAGTCAAATAATAAAATTTTAACTAATATTTTATGATATAATTTTTTATTATATTGATATGTAAAAAAATTGCAATTTGCAATATTTTTTTATATAGATTTTAAATATTTAAATTTTTTTATTTAAATAAAATTAGATATAATATAATTTAATTTTAAAAAATTAATCAAAATAACTTTCAAAAAGTATATCATGACAACTAATAGTGAGTTGAAGTAATATTTATATTAACGTAGAAAAAAAATAAAAAAATCCAAAACTATTCATTAGAAATTAAAATCATTAATTTATTCTTTAGATTTTGTGACCAAAATGAGAAATCACTCGCTCAATTTATTTCACCAACTTGCTTCTTAATATTCTCTTCCATACCTTTTTTTTTATTTTCATCTATTTAATTATAACTTTCCATATTACAAATCATAAAATTATGGAATATTATGATATATTAACTATATATTTATTTAATTTTTTTAATATTTTCTATCAAATAAATTAAAACATAAGAAATACCATAGATACTACTTACTTAATAGAAAAATAATTAAAAAATTAATATGTTGATTAAAAGCTCAGATTAAGTGACCAAATAGAGACAAACGGTAAAAAATATAGACAGGTAGGATCCTATTTGATGAAATGAACGGCGCTGATTAGTATACAAAGATCAGCATTTCAATTTCCACACAAACTATAAATTAGCCCTTTAATTTCATTTCTCTTTAATCAATCATTTCTCTAGAACTTTCCTTTCACTTTGATTCTCAATTTTTAATTTTCAATTATTTCTTACTGAATTCTGCTTTTGTTCAAGTTTTGATGATTTGTGTTCAGTTTCGAGTAGTTTGAGTTATTTTGCTAAAAATCTTGAGATCTGATTGAATTTCCGGTGTTGTAAACTCAATTTGACGGGCAATTTTGATCGGAATATTGGTAAAGTTTTCGATAACTTCATTCAATTTATTTATTCATGATATAGGTTTGCTGTGATATACAAGCTAATTGAATGAAATGAAAGAAAGAATATTTACGAGTTTAATTTATATGGATAGTTATGATTCTGGATTTTGAGTATTTTACAAGTGCTGTAGCTGCATTTATGCGCTTATATATGTGTGTGGATTTTATTTGAGAAGTTTATGATCTGAGAATTGTGTGTTTTTGGTTTGTGGTTGTAGGAGTTTGTTTGAATTGGAAATAAGGTTTCCAAAGAGGAAACTTGTTCGAAAATATGGTGTTTGACTTTGGGACGCTGGTGGCAAGTTTGAACAGATTATCAACTTCTGATCATCAATCTGTTGTGTCGATTAACTTGTTTGTTGCATTAATCTGCGCGTGTATTATTATCGGTCATCTACTCGAGGAAAATAGATGGATGAATGAGTCCATTACTGCCCTTGTTATCGTGAGTTCGTTTGGTTGATACTATTACTATTTTGTGCTTTTTGTGATACATGATGAACTGATTTTTATTTTATTTTTTTGTATGTGGTTGTGGTTTTTGGCCTTTTTGATGACAGGGTCTTTGCACTGGAGTTGTCATTCTACTAATAAGTGGAGGAAAGAACTCACATATTTTAGTCTTCAGCGAAGATCTTTTCTTCATTTACCTTCTTCCGCCTATCATTTTTAATGCTGGGTAAGTTTTGCATTTTAAATCTGTATTTATCTTTCTGCAGAACAAAATGTTTAGTCTATAATGTTTCTGTAGCATTCTAGATTGCTGAAACTACCCAATGACTGCTTGCAAGTAATTGATGCGTTATCTAGAAAGCTTAGACCTTGATTTTCTGAAGGGAAGATATTTTTTTGGTCAATCTTGTTCTTAAGCTTTGTGCAATGCAAACTAAGCATGGTATATAAGTGGAGAAGGGAAGAGGGGTGAGTCCATTATCCCGATTTTTTAACGCCGCAGATGGTCATATTTCTCAATTCATTAAAGAAAGTATTACTTGTTCAAAGTAACAACTTAGAATCTGTTAATTGATGTTTAGACAAAAACAGATATATCGCTAGTCTTAAGTTGGTTAGCCCTTTACTCAAAAGTTTCATCAGAAAACCCCCAATATGATATTACTAATGTGTACTATATATAGCTTCTATGGTGAAATATTTCCCACTGCCAACCAAACTACGAAAATAGTATTTCTAGTCATACCAAACACTAATGCTCTTTCCTTTTACAATGTTGAAGTTCTCGTGGCCTTGTGAACTCATGACTTTTAACAAGGCAAGCTACTCGGTAGCATGTGATATTTGTTTGATTTGACTAGGGTTTAAATTGTTCAAAAGGATTGCAATGAGTTTAATTTTTATCCATCTTGTCATGTTCCTCAGGTTTCAGGTGAAAAAGAAATCATTTTTCCGCAATTTCAGCACTATCATGCTTTTTGGGGCAGTTGGCACCTTGATATCATTCATTATCATATCATTCGGTGAGTATTTCTACCCTTTTTGTTTTTGTTTCCCCGTATAGGAAGTTCCATAGCATTTATTATACTCATGATTAACCCATCAGTAATAATATCTATTTTCATGATCAGGTGCTACTAGCATTTTCAAGAAATGGAATATTGGGCACCTTGAAATTGGAGATTACCTTGGTACTTCCTGCTGTTTCCTCTGTGTTATTTATTTTCAAAACTGTGATTGATAACTTCTCTGCATGTTTCTCATCTATCTCTATTCTTTTCCAGCTATTGGAGCAATCTTCTCTGCAACAGATTCTGTTTGCACCTTACAAGTCAGTATAAGTCGTACTTATTTATTAAAAAAGCTACAAAGTTGTAGCATTTTAGGCTGGTTAGACTAGCTGCTCTCTTACTGATCAGGCATATTCTATTTGGAAAATATGTAGGTGCTTAGTCAGGATGAAACACCCTTACTATACAGTCTAGTTTTTGGGGAAGGTGTTGTGAATGATGCCACATCTGTAGTTCTGTTCAATGCTGTCCAGAACTTTGACTTATCTCATATCAACACAAGCAAAGCTCTGGAATTAGTTGGAAATTTTCTGTACTTGTTTGCGTCGAGCACCATCTTAGGGGTTGTTGTGAGTCTCTCTCTCTCCACACATGCTTTTGTGTCTTTATTTGCTTTTTTTGTGTGTGTGTGTGTGGGCGTTGCACCTGTGACACAAGACTGACATTTAGTATTTCCCTGGTGCAGGCTGGTCTACTGAGCGCCTATATAATTAAAAAACTCTACTTTGGAAGGTTCGTATATATTTACTTTCACAAATAAACGTCCTTTTGAATGCTGTTCTTAGGTTAGTTGCAACAGGCAAATATTTGGATATATATATATGAGTCCTGAAGCTGCTATATTGGTTTTTGTGCAAAAGACTAGTCAAGAAAATGAAAGCCGGTGTCTTCTTAGAATTTTTGTTGTCTTGAATTGCACAATTTTAAGCTTACATGATAGATAAGAAAGATGTCTTTTCATAAAGGATTTTGATTACTTACTTCATGATGATCTCCAGGCACTCTACTGACCGTGAGGTTGCTATAGTGATACTTATGGCTTACCTATCTTACATGCTTGCTGAAGTAAGTTTCTCGATTAAGTAGCTGGCTAACCTTTTTAACTTTCAAAATGAAAATTAATCACTTCCTTTTTGGAAATATATATCTTTCTATAAAGTTATTAAGCTGACAGTTTGAAACTATGTCGATTGCAGTTATTCTATTTAAGTGCAATCCTCACTGTGTTTTTCTCTGGGATCGTGATGTCTCACTACACCTGGCATAATGTGACTGAGAGCTCAAGAGTCACCACCAAGTATGTTTGTACAACTTTTGGAACACTATTGATGGAGTGTGTTCAATTGCTCCTATTTCTGCCCATAAGATGGTTTAATCCTGACATATCATCTTCATCTGTTTCTCAGGCACGCTTTTGCTACATTATCATTTATTGCTGAAATATTCATATTCCTTTATGTTGGTATGGATGCTTTGGACATTGAGAAGTGGAGATTTGTAAGCGACAGGTGAATTTCGATATCATTGAAGTTGATCATTTACTATTTTGATTATATGTAAGTGGAAAAAGACTCGCATGATTGATGGTTTTGTGTTTCAACTCTATTTGCAGCCCACAATTATCAGTTCAAGTTAGCTCCATACTGTTGGGTCTTGTTTTGGTTGGAAGGGCAGCATTTGTCTTCCCCCTGTCATTTTTGTCCAACTTGATGAAGAAGTCTCCGGAGGAGAGGATTAGCTTTAACCAGCAAGTATGTGCTAATAACCTGTTAGTAACTGTAAAAGTCCTTCAAATCATATGGCCTCTCGTTATATCCCTTTGTTGATATTGCAGATCATAATATGGTGGGCTGGACTTATGCGAGGTGCTGTTTCAGTGGCTCTTGCTTATAATCAGGTAAAATACTAGTATCTGATATAACTCTGGTATCAAATTTCATGGATTATTTTTGCACGTTGCATATAGTCTTTGAGAATTTTTTTTTGACTGATTCATTAATTTCATGCTTGCAGTTTACCAGGGGAGGCCATACTCAGTTACGTGCCAATGCCATAATGATCACAAGTACTATCACTGTTGTCCTTTTCAGCACAGGGGTAAGATATCTTAACTTTTTGTATACATTTAATAAACATACATTTAGTAGAGAAACATACAACAAAAAATGTGCTCCTTTATGCTCAAGGATTGACCATCTCAAATTTTTTATTCTTTTGGAAACTTCAATAAAAATGTTTTCAAACAAAGTTTTAAACCTGGCAGGCTAGCAATAATATTCCTCTAGCACTTGTCCGATACTTCTCAACTCGTGAAAGATTTAGAAACAACTTCCCAAAATTCATGTGTTTAAGTGGTTATGCATGTAGCGAAAAATCCTTGGAACCAAAGCCATTTAGTTGAGCCCTTCTGTTTTTGTCCTTCACAGGTATTCGGGTTGATGACAAAACCTTTAATCAGATTATTGCAACCCTCACCAAAACACTTGACCAGAATGATCTCTTCTGAACCGACGACCCCAAAATCCTTCATCGTGCCACTTCTTGAAAGTACACAAGACTCAGAAGCTGATCTGGGCCCAAATGTACCCCGTCCCCACAGTTTGCGTATGCTCCTATCAACACCATCTCACACTGTGCATCGTTACTGGAGAAAATTTGACAACGCATTCATGCGTCCCGTTTTCGGTGGACGAGGTTTTGTTCCTTTTGTTCCAGGATCACCAACGGAACCAAGTGGTCATTAATTGCATTGCTGGATATGCAGATTACAGAAAATCATTTGTGTCTTGGGAGAGGGGGGAGGGAAGATGGCAGTTTTTCGTTTTGAGGTTTTGTTTACTGTTAATAGCTTTTGGGTGTTGCTATGTGGTTAAAAAGGGGGTTTTCTGGTTTATAGGTATAATCATTTTTCAGCTGAGTGCTGGCTTTTGGTCATTGCTGACAATTTCTGTCTGAATTCCTTGATTTTCTTTTTTGGTTAGTAATTGATCAGAACACCAAATAGGTGTATATTCTGTTAAGGCATATGGGCTTAGCTGCATAAATTATCTTTGTAAAATCCATCTACAGGTTAGAGTTTGGTTCATTTATATGTAGAATTCACCTGGTTGTAACATTCTCATTGCTCAGTAAAGTTGCTTAGATACACATTCCTTGTCAACTCTATTAGAAATTTCTTGATAACTTAATTAATTTCGTGGATGAGTTTTTTCTTTAATTATATCCCTTCCTTATATCACCCCACTTAGCACTTAATTTCATTGTTGCGCGCATCTGATGCTGAATTTTAGATGGTTTGAGCTTGAGACTTTCGTCTCAAATTCCTTGCCGGCTAAAGCAAGCGTTTGCCTTTTGGGTCAAACTCATCGCACCAAGCTTGTCTAGTGCGGATTACTTTTCCTAGGTAGTTTGCGAGCTATTGCATAGGAGCGGGGGTTTTACCATGTGCGCATCCAAAGGATAGCGGCTGTGGGTTTCCCTTGTCATAAAAATAGAGTAGATTCGTTCAATTATTATAATTCAATGACTGAAACTAATGATGCAATTTGCAATATGATCACATGCAGAAATTCAAGAAAAAATTATGGTCTTCTTGAATGCTGTAATAGGTTAGTTATTATGAATTCAAAATCAGATGATTAATAGATATCTTAAATAGCATAAAAATGTTGAACTTCAATTTTTAACTATATAGGAGTATTAAGTTTAAGTTGTATAAACTGTCTTCGATTGTGTAGGATATATTTGTCAGTGCTATACAGTTGTAGATTCAGAAAATAAGTCATCACGAGAGCCATTTTTTGGATTTTAAATAAATGATGAGTGAAGTATTCGGATAAACATGAGAACATTATTAGAGCAATTTCAACCGTTTATAATGAAGTTTCTCATTTTGTATACGTTATATATAATGATATATTTTAAGAAACGCCAGTATAATTTGTTGTACCAATACCAAGAGTTTGCACAAAGTTGAAATATCGTAATAAACATATTTAACAAAAGAAGATCATGTAAGGGCGAAGTAGGAGAGAGAATGATGATGAAGAAAATTTTTAGTGAGTTGGTTTGGAGTGAAACATAAATGACGGAGAGAATTAAGTGGATAGATAATTAAAAGCTCTTAACTTTTAAGCTAATTTGAGGAGTGATAAGCTTACTTCAGATCTAATTTAAAATTATTACATAGTCAGATACTAATAAATAATTGATAGCTATTTAATTGAAAAAAATGCATAAGTAGCCTCTAGACTATGACTGAATATTTAGAGACACGCACGCCTTAATTAAATTAAGTTCTCATGAATTTTTTATTTTTTTATTTTTTGTAATTTTGTGCATCTTTTGTTTTATGTGGCACGCTCGGAGACCTCACGCAATTGAGGCGCGTGGAAGATATTTGGATGCTACATAAGTTAAAAAGGTGCACAAAATTACAAAAGAAAATAACTTCAGGATGTAATAGTTAAGGTGTGTCTCTGAGAATTCGAATATACTGTGGGGGTACGTACTTGTACATTTTCCTTTATTTAATAGTGTAAGTTAAATTGATAAATATGGTATTTATGTATATCTAATTAGGTAGTTTTGTCATATCTTTTGAACGCTTTCAACATAACTAGATAAGCAATGAATTGCAAAATCTTATTGTCTCATCTTAGATTGACAAGTTCTTTTTTGTTATTAACCTTGAATTACTTCTCACCATCACTTGTAGCGTCAATCTCTTCATTTCTTCCTCCTACTGTTATAGTAATGCTTTAGTCCATATTTTTATGATAGCTCAAGCATACTTATCTTCAATTTTATGGAATTGAAGATGAAAATAAAAATTAATGCCCAGCTCAACATTCATGTCAGCTGGAGATGTATCCAGAAGATGACTAGAGGCCACAGTTCGAATTACACAGCACTGCAGTAGTTAAAATCTAAACAGTTCCATAATTATATTGTTGTCAGTTGTGAAAAAAGAAAAAAAAATGAAACATAACTATTACATAACTGAAATATTATTTTTTTTCCTCATGAACTCCACTTTTACATACTCATTTTGAAAAAAAACTCGTTAGGTTGACAGATAATAAAAGAAAAAAAGATGCAATTGTCAACATGCTGAAGACATTGTAAGTGCCTAAACAGTTACAAATATACCAAAGCCAAGCAAAATCCTTGTTAAGCACGTACAAGATATCCAATGGTGAGACAAATCAATGCGACCATGCAAAGGAATAACGGGGGAAAACCAACTTGAACTCTTTTTCCAACACCCTTTGTCTTTAACAATGCCTGTAAGAAATGACAAATGCGAGTTTTAAAAGTTAGACACAGCCTTGAGGGTCACAATCTGATCCCACACATTCATATGCAGAAGAATTAGTTGAAGTACTTTCTAGCTTGTTATTAAGAACCAGCAAAAGAAAAGATTCCTTGGTTTCGATGGGGACATCAATTCATCATGAAGTCACTTTACAACTCAATGTAACGTTTCTCGAAAACATTTCAATCATTATTGTTATTAACTGAGCAGATGATTTTCCGAGACATGTTGCAGCATTGAGTTTCATGGTGGCAGAATAGCCATTGATCTATAAAGTTGTTCATTGCAAAAGATTGGAAAATGCTGCTCTTTCGGAGGACATTAATTACACCTCAACTCAGAAAGCAAAGCATAAAATGAAGAACTTGTAGCAAAATTCTTCTCTGATTAGGCTTGAGAAGGATAACTGATTTGGATTCGAAAGAAAACAATATCTAGCAGGACTCTACTCCATTGTAATATAAAGGAGCATACATATTTTCTGAATAAACAACATCAACACAGACTTAATCAGCATAAAATTGAGATAAAACACATAAGAAGTTGTATTTCTGCCTGAATTGCAAAAGCGAAATTGCTTCAAATTCTAAAGCAAATCTGGCAGGATCATTCAATTCTTTGTTTATATGTACGTAAGATGAGCATCCTAACTGCTTCATCGAACTTCTTCATCCACATAAATGGTCCTAATTGAACTTATCTGGGAACTGGTAAAGTTGGGTCTTATTAAACTTATCAATCAAAAATTAATTTAAAAGTTTGAATTTTAGGAGGTGAAAAGGTTCAGTTCTCAATTCTTGTCAGTTAGCAGTAGGAAAATCAACAACAAATAAACTCCTCATTAACCTGCTAACACCCTTTAAACAGAAAGGAAATCAAACTGATAGGAGTAGTTACTCCTACAACCTGGAAGATTCTTAGAGAAAAGCACAAGATATACCACAAAGCATACAAAGACAAGAGAGAGGCATAGAGAGATTTAGCGACTAACCAGTTCTTGCTTCAAAATTTCCATGTCTTTGATGGTACTTCGCTTCTGTTCTTTTAACTTTGCAATTATGCATTCAGCCTGCAAGGAAATTTTCATCAAGTTCCAAACTCTTTGTTTGAGCGCCAAGGGTGTGTTGAGTTGGTTGGGGTTTGGTGGGGGAGGAGGAGAGAAACAAATATCTGTAGGCTTTAACAGTTGATGACTGACTAAAACCAATACGGGTTCACTATCCTGGTTTGCAGGATGTAGAGGGATGTCGTGATAGTGCATAAGAACATATACTCAAATTGTGGAGTACCAAGAATCAATTACAAGAAGGCTAACCTCAATTAGCTGAGAACCCAGTGAATTTATCTTAGACTTTAGCTCCTCAACATCTTTGGATAGTGACAATTTTGTCTCCATGTTCAGATGTCTTGATTTAACAACCTCAACCTCATTGGCATTAGACTCCCTGTTCTTAGGCAAATTCAACTGGATGTCTTCCGCAGTCTTAGCCAATCTTGGCTCCTCTTCTTCTGCGTCAAAATCTGCACCCTTGTTGTTCTCAACCACCTGCATTGAGAAGCAATTGTCTAATAAATTCACAGTCCAAAAAAAATTCATTATATAAACACCTTTTACACATACCTGACATATTGTTTCATCAATCTCACCAATACTGGACTTGGTATTTTTTGTTAAGTTCAGATCTTTGACATCTGCAATGTTAACCAATCTTGGTTCCTCTGTTTCTTCCTCAAATTTTATATCCTTGTTGTTCTTAACCACCTGCATTTGGGAAAAAAACTTCTACAACTGAATTATCACAGTTTCAGAAAAGGAAATGTGTCAAGATAATATGTTTTTCTCTTGCTGACAATAAGCAATGACCATCCCCCAAAAAATTTAATGTCATCAAAGTTTATAACTGACCTAAAGGTATGGAAATATGCAGGGTAAAATCGTGACCAATCGTAATTCACTAGTTGACATTCTCATATGGTTTTTATCAGATAATTAAATAGCCAAATCCTGGAAGATACTACTACACAGATTAGTAAAAGTGATGATAATGCCACTTACAGTTTGAGCTGGAGGAAGGTTTTCAACACCACTTGGAAATTTTTCCTGTTGCATCGAAGTCTCAACAGATGCACCTTGCTTGGAAATTCCATTAGCTGGCTGCAGAACTAGAGACTGGGATGGGCTAACCAGAACAACCTTTAATTTGCACTCGTCAATATATTTTCCATTATCTTTGTTGAACTGGCACAAAAAAATCAAAAAAAAATTAGAAACTATAAAATAGTATATTCAGATGACACACTGCAATTTTTACCATGCTGGGTGGAATTTCCTCTTCATTAGTTCCAAAAGGAACAACTGTGCACTGAATCAAAAATTTATCCTTGCATTGCATATCAGATGGAGCTGCCCTCTGAGCTTGCATTGTAACTGCATCCAAGATAAAATCAGTATCAGAAACTGAAAAATGTAGTTATAACAGGGTCTCAATCAACCAGCACAAAGCAAAAGTTCAAGACAACTTTTGCTTGGTTGGACTAGTATTTGAATTCACGCTCAATATGAGACATTGACGTTGCTGATCTCCAGACATTGACGTTTACATCACTAAGAAGATTCAGTAAGCAGGAGCACTAACAGAAGCTACACATATTTACAGCAGTGTGTTCGCCACCAAACTCATAGATGGCTACTCACTTGAAGGGAAATGCTTAGCAACACAAGGATAACCGATTTCATCATTGTCAACGAATCAGAACCAGTAAGGGAAATTATATATACCTGTGAAGTCATATGTAGACTTTGGTTTGATAACACCTATATTAGGCCGGA